GCTTTCGTACTGTGGACTGGTAGCTCAGCGGGGATACGCCCACCGAAGGGAGGTGACAGCTCCCGTAAGGTGTAGGTAAGTCGTGCCTCGCGTAGGCCCTATCCTGTCGTAGGGGCTCGCGAGAGGTATGGCTGGCGCACCCGGCCGGAGCGGCTTGTGGAAGCTCCATGTATATTGCGACGAAGGGTTCAAAAAACCAACTCCTGCGTGACGTGGCCGGGAGGGTCCCGCGCTGCCCCCGTGCGGTGCCGGACCGATGTGCCCGACAACGCGGATATGCGCGAGCCTCGTAGCGACCCGATCACGCTGCTCAATAACCCCACTCCCTCCAATCTCCTTGTGACTAGGATGCACCATCCGTACTCCACGTGGCAACTCAGCCACTGCCTTGTGGTGTCTCCTCCACGAGCTCCTCCGGAAAACACGAAACGAGATCCCCGCGTCATACACCCACTCCAAAAACGTGCTTCTCGTCCGCTGAAGAGCGTCGCCATCATACACCTCGTCGATGGTCGTTTGTCTAGGTCTCTTGCGCCCCTGCGCAAAAACATCATCGTCCACCTCATCGACATACATCTTTCCTCTCTCTCTTTCTATGTGCTCAGCATCACGGGATCCACCTCTCGTGCCACGAGCAGTCATCACTACCTCCTCCCCACTCAAATGCGGAGAACGGGGACTCAAACCACCCTCCTCCCCCACCTCCGTAGTGCCTCGCATGTCATCGGTCTCTCGCCTCGCCTCCCGGTCCAAAAATGCCTCCACCTCGTCCACAGGGTCCATCATATCGTCATCTCGGTGCGCACCGAACCCTCCACCTGCCTGCCTCCTCTGCGTGCCCCTCCCTGACAAAGATCGCTCGTCAACTATGTCCATCTCCTCTATATAACGGAGGATACCCTCCTCGTGACGCGGGTCAAACCTGTACTGCGTCTTGTTCCATATGTCCGCCAAAACGGACAACGATGCCTGCTTGCACTTCTTCGGCTGCGTGAAGTGTCGCGCTGCCTTGCTCTGGTTTCCCTGGAAAATGACCTCGGAGTAGTTGCAGCGCAACTTGTGGTCGCCGTGCATCTTCTCCCATGTCCCCACCTTCTGTCCTTGCATGACATGCTTCCAGATAGCCGATTTGGATTGCAACAACGCTATGGTAGCATCGGACGCCGATCTGAACTCGTTCCCCCTAGATCCCCCTACAGCCCCAGAAGCCATCGTCGGTCACAGACCCTCTGTTATCCGTTCCTGTCCTCGAGAATGCTGTCAAGGAACCCGTTCAAGCGAAGTCCCCGTCGTCGTCGTGCCGAGTGTCCGTGGACGCAGGACCTGCAGACCACGAGTACGAAATTTGTAAACAACGAGGCGCTTTCTTAAAAAGAAAAAGAAAAAAAAATGTGTGGCAGTGGATATTTCGATGTTGCAGCGGTAGAATCAATCAATCAATCAATCAATCAATCAACCACGGTCCTGATTGATTGATTGATTGATTGATTGATTGATTGATTGATTGATTGACTGTTTTGATTGATTGATTGATTCATTGATTAAATGACTGTTTGATTGATAAATCAAACAGTCATTCAATCAATAAATCAATCAATTAATGAAAATTTTGCTTGCTTGATTGATTGATTGATTGAGTGACTGATTGGTTGATTGATTGATTGATTCATTAATTAGTCGATTGATTAATTGGTTGATTAATTGATTCATTGATTGAGTGATTGATTGATTCATTAGTTGAGTGATTGAGGGATTGTTCAATTTTCATTTCTTTTTTGTTTTTTTAAGGGTTTTTCTTTTTTTTCTGTTTTTTTTTTCATTTTTTTTTTTCGTTTTTTTTTCGTGTACTTTTTTGTGGTTTGTTCCGTTTTTTTTTCATCTTTTTTCGTTGTTTTTTTTTGTTTTTCGTTGTTTTTCGTTGTTTTTCGTTGTTTTTCGTTAGTATTCGTTTTTAGTTTTTTTTCTCTTCAAGATCAAGATTTTTTTCCGTTTTATTTTCTTTACCTAACCTTGTCTTTCTTCTCTTCCGATCTATCTACAACCCTGGTCCACTCACATTCA